TGCCCTGCCAGTGCCCCTCACTCCGCCCCACAGCCCCTGCCAGCCCAACTCTGCCGGTGCCCCTCACTCCGCCCCACAGCCCCTGTGCCCAGCCCTGCCGGTGCCCCCCACAGCCCCTGCCAGCCCTGCCCTGCCCTGCGGGTGCCCCTCACTCCAACCCACAGCCCCTCTGAGTTTTGGGGTTAATTTCTTCCCCCGTAGGCTGGGGTGAAATGTGACCCCTGGCTCCATCTGCCCCTGACGTGGAGCAGCTGGAAATAGGCCCCTTGTCATGGGGGGATCTGAGCCCAGTGAGGGGGGAGGGGTTGCCAAGTTACAGTCTCCCTGCTCAGGTTTGTACCGTGAAGAGTTCTTCTCCCTGCCCTTCCCGGTCTCTCCTGCTCCCTCTGAATTGGCTTTATTCCTCCTTTTCTGCTGTTCCCTTCACTCTGTCATTCTGGGGGCAGAATTGGCCCATTTTCCTTCCCTGGTCCCATTCATGCCTCTGCCCCCTTCCCGCCTGTCCCCCGGTCCCATTCATGCCTCTGCCCCGTTCCCATTCATGCCTCTGCCCCCTTCCCGCCTGTCCCCCGGTCCCATTCATGCCTCTGCCCCGTTCCCATTCGTGCCTCTGCCCTGTTCCCGGCTTTCCTTCTCCTGCCCCCAGGACCCGCCTGCCCAGGGGGTCACTCCTGGAGCCCAGACTTGGACAAGTGCATGGACTGCACCATCTGCCTCCACCTCACCAAGAACGATTTCTGCACCACGTGTACGTGTCCCACCCTGGGCCTCCGGCCAAGGCAGCCAGGGGGTGGTGGGAGGAGACATGGGGAGCTGAGTGGAGGGGAATCTTTGGGGGGACTCAGGTCTCGGTAGCAGGTGCTGTGGGGGGGCTCAGGAAGCCATGGGTGCCAACCTGCAGCCCCGTTAACCATCTCTCTGTCCCCAGGTGGGGAGCCCCGGCCCCAGGACACCCGGCAGTGGCTGGTCGTGGGCGGCGTCTTGGGGGGCGTCGCCGTGCTCGGCCTGGTGGGGGGGGCGCTGCTGTGGGCTCGCTGCCGGAAGAAGGAGAAATTCACCAGTGAGTGACTTGTGTTCCCAAATCCCAGAGCCCCTCTCAGCCTCAAACTCATCCACCATCTCCAGCCCCCCAACCCAGCCCCACACGTGCTGAAACCCCAAACCCTCAGCCCCAAATGGAGCCCCCAATGCCCCAGCCGTGGATCCCAACCCCCCTTCTCGACTTGCCTAGTCGCCTGCGGAAGAAGGAGAAATTCACCAGTGAGTGACTTGTGTTCCCAAATCCCAGAGCCCCTCTCAGCCTCAAACTCATCCACCATCTCCAGCCCCCCAACCCAGCCCCACACGTGCTGAAACCCCAAACCCTCAGCCCCAAATGGAGCCCCCAATGCCCCAGCCGTGGATCCCAACCCCCCTTCTCGACTTGCCTAGTCGCCTGGTTCCTGGCCAGGGCCTCCAGAGACTCCCCCATAACTGGCTCCTTGCTTCTCCTTTCCAGCCCCCATAGAAGAGCCACCATCTCCAGCCCCCCAACCCAGCCCCACACGTGCTGAAACCCCAAACCCTCAGCCCCAAATGGAGCCCCCAATGCCCCAGCCGTGGATCCCAACCCCCCTTCTCGACTTGCCTAGTCGCCTGGTTCCTGGCCAGGGCCTCCAGAGACTCCCCCATAACTGGCTCCTTGCTTCTCCTTTCCAGCCCCCATAGAAGAGACTGGAGGTCACTCGGGTGAAGAGTCACTGATACACTGATGGTAAGAGACGTCTGCGGTGCTCACAGCCCCTGCCAGCCCA